TCCACATTTGAACTGGTCAAACATTTAATGTTTGCTCAGTGTGCAGGCCTCTCCTTTCAGAGGTTTCTCATCTGGAGTTTAATTGGCTGGATGCCATTTATGGATAAGATAATAATGCTGTGTGCAGGGTTTCTGGTACCTCTTTCGTTAAGGATGATAAATTGATTTTTAAGAAAGGTTATACTTTTGAACCTCATTCTTATAGGCTGGTCTTATCAGAGAAAGTCAGAAAAATCTATGATAGACATTTATTAAACAAGGATTAGATTTAAATAAGCAAACTGGTTTGAAAAAGAGATCTAAGCACAAGAAGCTGCTAACTGCCATACCTTAACCTTAAACATACTGCTTGAAGACATAGCTAAAATGTTCTCTATTGCACCTCTTAAAATGGCACTTGACGCAGTCAGTGGGGATTGTTTGATGTAACATCATCTCTATCCTTTTGAAGATCTAGATGAAGTAACGTGGCCTGTTGCAGTACAAGAGATGAGCAGGACTGTTGAGGACAGTACATTTTGGAGCTCACTCATTCATAGGATTGTCATAGGTTGGAGGTGACTGAATGGCACATAACAAGTTAAAATAGGTTTTGTATTATTCTTTCAGCAAAAGAAAGTAATTTTTATGTGAGATTAAAGGAAGCTAGACCAGGAATGGAAAACTGGTTTGGTGTCTTCCAGGTGTTAAGACTACAACTTCTGTCATCCCTAAACATTAGCTGGCTGGGGCTGATAGAACTTGGAGCCAAACAACATCTAGAAAGCTATAATTCCCCACTCTGCTACAGGCAAACAATTTCCTCTTCATATTTTGAAATATCAATTATTTTGTTATTTAGCAGCACTGAAATTATTAAGACTTGACACTGAAAAGGGTAGGAATTCACAAATTGCTGTTAAAAATATTGTCTACATTTCTGTTTAAGACACAGAATCTAGGAGAAATTTTAACTTTTAATATGATGAATTATAAACTTGTTATCAATTTCATTGTGTTCCTGTGTTTCATATATTACACCCTGCTATCTAGATTTCATAAAAAAACTTATCAAAATAAATGTTTGTGCAAAGGTTAAGTTTATAACTTTGAAAAGCATTACTCAAGACAAAGCAGTTGTTGGAATGTGGACATAAAAGGCAAAGCCCCCCCCCCAATTCAAGGATTCTGTTTTTTCAGCTCTGCTTCTTGGCAGCCCCATCGTTATCATGCTGTTCTTAAGGCCACACAGGCAACATATGTGGGTGGTTTGTGGAAATAATAAAATCACATGGTTGTAACTGCTAAGATGTTTAAAAGGTGTGGCTTGCTGAATTAAAAGTGGGTTTTATATTTTGAATCAGTTGGGGTTTTCTCGTTCTCTTTAGGTTTTTTCTGCATATGGTTTAGATTTTAAATCTTTTTTTATTTTGTTGAGACATAGAGGCCTCCTCAATTATATTAAAAGCTTCACAGAGGCTTCGCAACAAATATTTGCTTTGTCTACTAGTGCCAGTTCAATATAAACTGATAACCTTTTTATTTTTTCTTACGGTGGTCTATATGTACTAATTTCTCTTTGCTTGATCCTAGAAGAGAAGTGTTTTCAGAAATTGGTGGATTCTACTGGATTTAGTAGGATTGGGTTCTAATTTTAATAGAAATGAATTGTTCTAGATCCCTCTAAACAAAAAATAGGTGTGCAAAATACAAATATGAGAGTGAGTAACAACTTTATGAGACCATAAAAACCTGGAAAAATGTGATTTTTTAATCAGGCTTGAGCATTGCAGTTTGGGGCATGGGAAGAAAAAAAAATCCAATAACCAGCATAGCCAGATCTTGAAGTTTCATGGTCTATGTTAAAAGTCCCAAGATGGAAGCTGCACACTTGTAAAATGAGTTTGCATCTGTGACAAACCCAGACCTACTGGGATCTGCCACACATTTACACTAAGCTGCCACCAACCATTCCCTGTAAGAAGTCACACAGACCAGGGATGGATTTTCAAACAATAAAAAGAATAAGGTTTATTTAAATACAAACAGGGTAAATAAAACAATCAGGTGAATCAGATAAAGTAACGTGGCTTAGTTTCACTCATACATACACACAGTTTGGTTCACCCAGAACCTTAACTTAAAGCACAGACCCTGAACCTATCAGTTCTGGCTAACCAACAGACACCTGAACCTATCAGGTTGGTACTCTGACACACAGTAGTACCCTGTCTGACACACAGACTCCCACAACAGCTTCTTCTTCCCAGCTGCTGCTTCGTCACCTCCCAGTGTCTCTCTGCATCTCTTCAGTGTGTGTCCTCACCACACAGGCATCACATATTTATACAGTACAGCCCCTCCTCCTGATGTCCCGCCTGATCTTGAAGTTTCATGGTCTATGTTAAAAGTCCCAAGATGGAAGCTGCACACTTGTAAAATGAGTTTGCATCAGTTTAGATTCCTCATGGTAACATAAGGTACTATTTTAGTACTATGGATTTCTTCACTGTCACTACTAGAGATAGGCACGAACTATGGTTTGGTGGTTTGGCCTAGTTTGGTGCCGCACCTGCACAGGTGTACCATGGGCACTTCATGCTTCCCTCCCTCACACAGTTGCCCACTCTCTGACAGCAGTGTGTGATCCCCTCCTCTGGCGGTCACCCACTCAGTGAGGAGATGGGATAGGGATGCTAGTGAGTGGATGATCCTGTGGAGGAGGCAGAGGAGGGAAGTGCAGTGCTGCTAGTGACAGGATAATAATGCAGAGGATGTGGGGCAGAGAAGTGTGCTGTTGCCAGTGAATGGATGGACAATCACGTAGAGGAGGAAAGGGAGAGTAGCACATGACACCCATGGAACACCTGTGCAGGTGCTGCATTGAACGGTTGAACCCATCTCTAGTCACTACTAAATCTGGACTTATGAACTTTGCATATATTTAATGTGTTTGATTAAATGCAGTTGCAAATTGTGCAGTCCATATAGTCATCTACTCATAGTGAAGGCAAATATATTATTGAGGAGCTGTAGGTTCCTTACTTTTCTTGGCATACTTCCCATGCTTTCCATTGTGAAGTATAGTTTCCACCAAAATGCAGTTGTCAGGATGTCATGTGTGCCCAGCTTAGGGTGTGACTACACAGCAATAAAATTGTGAATGGATCCATTGTGAAGTCACACTTGGGAAGTCAAGTTTCCCTGGTTTAATTCGCTTCAGCCAACCACACAGAAGTCAGCAAAGGAAACAGAGGACATTGGCACTCGGCCTTGTTTGCAGCTCCTTAGCTGTTTGAAGCCTCTCCTTGCTACACCTGGTGCCTGGGTTTCCTCCTTCCCTCCATCTAGGTATCCTAGCACTAGAACAGCTAGATGACCAAAGAGGGGAAAAACTGAGGAATTAGCAGGGAGGATGACATTTTCAGTCACCCTTGTTTTCTGCTTGTTAAGGTAGCTCTAATACCGTGTCTCCTACAAATATGGACAACCAGAGCAGAACAACCTTAACAAGCTGGAAACAGGGCTAACTAAAAACTTCTTTCTCTCTGCTGAATTCTTTCTCTTTTTTTCCTCTTCAGTCACCTAGCCACCCCAGAGGTAGTGCAGCAAGCCTTTGAAAAAGAAGGCAGAGAAGGAGACCCAGGCACAAGATGTAGGGAGAAAATTCAAAAGGTAGCCAGTTTCCAGCTGTCTTTTGCATGTAGCCAGCAGTGCAAGAAGAATAGAATACCTGCAAATCTCCGTATCGGCTCAAGCAATCACACTGCCTGAGCCCATATAAATGTGTTTGATTCTGAAAAAGAAGAAGCCCCTGCAACAGAGCAAAAAGCTGTGGATGTAGGGAAGAACTCTGAGCTGATTCACATTGACATTTATTTGTATAATCAATAGAAAATAATGCAAATCTGACTGTTCCAATCCTAGAGCATTTCCTGCATTATTTGTCAGCATAGTCATCCCTCATTCTTGAGTTATCTAACTGTATCTAGGAATTCTACTGCAGACTATCCAGTATCTTAGATTTCTTAGTTTACTGCAGAGGCCAGAATGTTTGGGACATCGTGTCGTCTTCAAAATTTAGAATGCAAGCAAGCCATTTTTTCTTACTCTAGTTACCTATGACTAAATTTTATTATTAAATAGCAGTCACATAATAAATTAATGATATTAACTTAGATTTAATATTTGATATGAAGTGTGAAGGCAAGAGGAGAAGAGGACGACAGAGGATGAGATGGTTGGACAGTGTCATCAAAGCTACCAACATAAATTTGACCCAACTCTGGGAGATAGTGGAAAACAGGAGGGCCTGGCATGTTCTGGTCCATGGGGTCACGAAGAGTCGGACACGACTTAATGACTAAACAACAACAACAATATTTGATATCACATTGTATACTGATTTTATATATTAATGTGTTACATAAGTAGCTTTGAATTTACGATTAAACAGTTTTCTTAGCCGAGAATTAAAAAAAATTGATGTAGAACTTTGTAGGAATTGTGAATATAGTCTTACTATGTGGATTTTTTTTAGCACATACATTGTTGTGATAAGCGCAGCTATGGATGTGGCTACCCAGATCTTCTAACTGTATTTGCCTTTATTACCCAGTCACTATTAATGATTAATTACTTCTTAGCATTGATATCATTATTACCAGATGATGTGGCTGTGCAGAATGAATTCCAGTTTTCTGTGCTAAAATTTTCTTAGATTCCTGAAAAATATTTGAATGTCTAAAGAGAGAGGGAGATAACTTTGATATTAAGTAATGCAATTAGCATGAATTTCAATGTTACATATTATGTATATCTTTTGATGGTTCCAGTATGTGGAAATAGATTAATCTTTGCACAATGAAACTGAAAATAATGGGTTTCTTCAGGAATCTGATTTCAGGGAAACATAGTGCTCACCTGTGTATCTTTCTGGTATGCATGGCAAAGCAACCCTGTAGATAAAAGAAGATAAAGCAGTATAAATATATGTTGTCATCTTACTCCTTTACACTTAGCAAATCCAGTTTGCGGATGACATGCAAGAGTTCAGCAAATTCCCAACCAAGACTGGTCGCAGGTCCCTATCTCGTTCCATCTCGCAATCTTCCACTGACAGTTACAGCTCTGGTAGGTGCCCAGCTTTTCCTGATCTTTATTTCCCATTTGGCATAAACATTAATCCATATTGCTGGAAGTGTTCAGTGATGATGCATTGTACCAGTAGTAATTATTGTACTGTGAGAACTGCACAGAAGGATACATGGCTTGTGCCAAGTAATCTAGATGGAAGACTCTGTGTTCAGCTAAATCCAAAGAGGGTATATCATGGAAAATACAGCATTTTGGCTTTTTCTGCTTTTGTATATCCATCTAGGATATAATCAATAAACCCTGCAACACAGTGTTTCTGTCCAGAATGTAGATGGTAAATCTGTTCTTTACAGTGTTTTGTGGGCACAGGCTCCTATAGGTATAAAGGTAGCTAATGTAGCTTGCTTTTTGTGTTTGAAAAAATATTTTCAAAGAGAAGTGGGAAATGTTACTTTTTAGAACAGAAACTTTCAGGCATGATGGCACTGGTCATGCTGAATGGAGTATACAATAAAAATATTTTAAAAATCAGCTTTCCTATCTCCAGGGCTACATATAAAGGTTTTCGTCATCTGAAGGAAGAAAGAAAACATTGGATTGGGTTTTGATCTGTTTCTTATGGATATTGATTGTCACTTTTTATTTATAATTAGAGATGGACATGAGTAAAAAAAGGTAACATTTTGATTTGTGATTCATCAAAGTCGATGAATCATGAATTACAAATGTACGATTTTTTTCTGATGAATCCACAAATCAATGTGATTAATTTTTTACTTAAAAACCCTATAAAACACCCCCCCAAGCTTCTAGAGGAACCAAATTCACAGGGAAGCTTCCCATGATTGTCCTCTACAAGCCCTGCAAGTTTGGTAAAGTTTGGGTTTTGGAAGTCTGAGTTGTACACCCACAAGGACAGCCCCCCAGGAAAGTTCCCCTGAGGCACCTAGAGACACCAACACCACAGAGAAGCTTCTGTTGACTCTCCTCTACAATCCCTCAACGTTTGGTGAAGATTGAGTTTCATACATCCAAGTTATACACTCACAAATTGTGTCCCCATAGGAAAGTGTACTTTAGCACCTGGCATGGGGTACCCAATCGTCACCGAACTTGGAGGGATTATAAAGGAGTCATGGAAAGGTTCCCTGCAATTTTGGTGCCTCTAGGTGCCTTGGGGACAATTTTATATTGAATCAAAAATTGCTAAAAATTCATTGATTCGTGATTCTTCCGGGGCATTAATTTGTACAAATACAAATCAACAAATTAGGGATTTTTTGAATAAATTTGGTCATTCATTTTTTAATTAGTGCCCATCCTTATTTATATTCATACAAGAAAGGGATTTAAAGGAATAGGTAATCATTTCTCTGTGGCAACCACCTTTATGACTTTCAGAACCTGGCAAAATACTGTGATGTATGACTTTTGACAGTGCTGAACTTGTAGCTAGTGGAAATGTACCTAGCAGAACACCTTTCTCTTTCAAGACATTGGCACATTTAGCTTACCCTTGTGGATTTCAGAAGTTGTCATAGCTTGTCCTCTTCCAGTTGCATCAGTACTCATCAGAAAACATAAGACCCATGTCTTTCTCTGGTTTTAGAGATTACAAAAGTCTCTTCTTTTCTCTCTTGTATATAGTTAGCACATATATATAATCCTACAGAATTTGTAATCCACAGAGGTTCTTAGAAAGTAGTTGAAGGATCTGATTTGTTAGAATGACAAAAATGTGTAATAAATAAGATGGAATCTGTCTGCCAGTAATCTGCCAAGGACGTTGATATCATGCAGTATTTGGAAACCACATGGTGCCACCTTATGCTCATGTAGATAAGCCAAGAAGTGAAAGATTTGAAACAGGAAGCCAGATTGACCATGACACTTCCCTTATTTGATATGAATTATTAGAATGAAGTTAAAATAGCACAGATGGTAAAATGTCAGCAGTGTGTAAGACATAATGATTGTCTTAGTTTCTTTCATGTTTATTCTATTCTCACGAAGCATTTTGTTTTGTTCTCTAGCGGCATCCTACACAGACAGCTCTGATGATGAAGTTTCTCCTAGAGAAAAGCAGCAAACCAATTCCAAGGGAAGTAGCAATTTCTGTGTTAAGAATATCAAGCAGGCAGAGTTTGGGCGCCGAGAAATAGAGATTGCTGAGCAAGGTAAAGGGCAGGCTCTCATTTTGGGTATTGTAAATTATATTTCATTAGTCAGCAAACACTTTAGTGGTCATTTAACTCTATTGAAATGTCAGCAAATGATATATAGACCTAAAAACAAAAGCAACCTTCAGGATGTTCATTTTATTTATTTATTTATTTATTTATTTATTTATTCATTCATTCATTCATTCATTCATTCATTCATTCATTCATTCATTCATTCAGCAGGTGATGCCAGTGAAACAGTCTATATGGATAACTTGTGTGCAGCAGATATTGGCCAATACATGCAGAATTATTTTTGACCATATGTGTGCTCAGGACAGAGTAATAGGACCATCTTGATGTGGTTCCATTTGGGGACAATTAAAGCTTCAGCTGTGTACTTCTTGGAAGCATTCGGCTTTCCCTGGCTGTGGTTAGCAGCATTCTTCACTGTCCTGTTCTTTACACTGAAGATAGTTCCTATCATTTATCTTTGCTTTTCAAGTGATCCTGTTCTCCAGTAGCTCATATATAGATTTCCTTAACTTGTCTGATTCTGGGACACCAGCATGAAGATTGTTTGGTGAGTAACTGACACATATTTAATAAAAAATATGTTCCTTTGTGTTTGTAGATATGTCTGCACTCATCTCGCTAAGAAAAAGAGCTCAGGGTGAGAAGCCTTTGGCTGGAGCTAAAATAGTAGGATGTACACACATAACAGCACAGACTGCGGTAAGTGCATCTGCTCTGCAGTTTGTACACTAGCTGGAACTGATCATAACTGCTACTTCTGCAGGTCATCCATGTTACTCTAAAGAGATAAAGGGGAGGATACCATCATTGCATAACTAAGAGCATGACTACTTAATAAGCCATTTGGTTTATCTGTGTATGGAAGTGTTCTAGAAACACATTTGCTGTTCTGGAAGATCCAGACTTCCAAGTAGTTGGTGGTATACATTAAGTTTGAATTATAACTGCAGTGTTTTGGGTTGGAAATAGGGTGCAGTTTTGGGTCGCTGAGAAATTGGGTGCAGTTTTGGGTTGCTGAGAGTTTTAGCAAAATAATATAGAAATCATTGCACTATGCAGTGTTCCCTCTAAGGTGTGTGCTTGCGGAGCTTCGTTGAGGCTGCTCATGGGCAGACAGTTTGTTTACTTCCCATTTTGGTTGATGTTGGGAAAGTGTGAAGGCAAGAGGAGAAGAGGACGACAGAGGATGAGATGGTTGGACAGTGTCATCAAAGCTACCAGCATGAATTTGACCCAACTCTGGGAGGCAGTGGAAGACAGGAGGGCCTGGCGTGCTCTGGTCCATGGGGTCACATGGAGTCAGACACGACTTAACGACTAAACAACAACAACAACATAACCTCCTCCGGCACCTAGAGACACCAGAACTAAAGAGAAGCTTCTTTGAGCTCTTTACAATCCCACCATGTTTGGTAAAGACTGGGTTGCAGACATCCAAGTTATACAAGATCCAAGTTTCCTGGGGGGGATGAAGTGCATCCCGCAAGGAAACTGCCCTTTAGAAGCTGCCATTGGGGAAATTCCAGCACTGCCGCAAGCCAGCTGTTAATGGGCACTTTTCTGCGGGGACCCACTTTGTGGGTGTTTAACTTGGATTCCTGAAACCCAGTCTTCACCAAACCTGGTGAGGTAGTAGAAGAGAGTCAGGAGAAGCTTCTCAGTGATTTTGGTGTCTCTAGGTTCCTGGGGGGAACTTTCATGGGGACCCTCTTTGTGGGTGTATAATTCAGACGTCTGAACCAAATTTACAGGGCTTGTAGAGTGGGGGGAAGCTTTTCTGTGATTTTGGTTTATCTAATTTCCTGCGGGTGGTGTTTTATAACATTTTAAAGTCAAGAAAAATAGACAAATGGATTTGTTGGGGGGGAATCATAATTCATTGACCTTAACGAATTACAAATCGCATCAAACCACTATTTTTTCGATTTGTACCCATCACTACTCATTATTTAATGCCAAATGTCTGCATGTAGGGTGGACTATATACTAAATGAATTAAACAACTGTTTAGCTGGGGACTGTCTAATTAGCTAATATGACTGGTTTTTGGCCGATTTTGTGCCTGCTTTATCCTTCAGGTCCTGATTGAAACGCTTTGTGCGTTAGGAGCTCAGTGCCGTTGGTCTGCTTGTAACATTTATTCAACTCAGAATGAGGTTGCTGCTGCCTTGGCTGAAGCTGGTGAGTATAGGAAAGCTGCACAGAGATACTAGAGTGAGAAATGCAAGTTTAGTTTTGTGTGCATTCAACCTTTATCAATTCCATTAGATTTTTTAATAAAATTGTGCGGTGCAACAAGATATTTAGCAGTGTTAGCTCATTACATTTTTTAGAGCAATAAAGCTCTGTAATCAGTGTTCTGCAGCAATTAATTAAAAAAATAAGACTGGCTTTGTTTCAAATGTATAGTTATTATCTTAGAGATTATATAACAGGTGAAATCCAGTTGTAGGTTGCAACTAGAGTAGGCCCATTGAACTAGTGGAATTTATGACTGAGTTTACTCACCAAATTCTACTGACTGAGTGAGCCTACTCAAGTTGTGATTCAGTACTGCAATTCAGCCAAGAAGTTTAAAAAAAAGCATCAGTGAAATATCTTTTGAAAGAATTTGAACTGAATTTATCTTACATGTATATATTGTTGTTGGGGGAAAATCCTTAACTTGAAATATCAAATCAGAAGTTCAGATTTTATTTGCTGATATATGAATTAGTTTCCTAACTAGACCTAGAGATATGGATGTAGCAGTTTATGTTCCATGTTGCAAAAACTGAAGTTGCTTTTTGCTAGAGAATGGTGCAAAGGTGATGATTAGAGAATATTTATTTATTTATTTTCAGATTTTATTATATATGAATTAGTTTCCTAACTAGACCTAGAGATATGGATGTAGCAGTTTATGTTCCATGTTGCAAAAACTGAAGTTGCTTTTTGCTAGAGAATGGTGCAAAGGTGATGTGATGAGAATATTTATTTATTTATT